GTCCTTCAATACCATGCCAAATTTCATCTTGATTTGACTAGTAGATCTCTAGATATCATAGAAATCCTATCTAATTCCAAATTGCCAACTTCCAAAACCTTCTTGTACTAAAAACTAGATATCTCTAAACCACAATGTTAGAATATCATAAAAATTTGTATCATAGATGCTACACTATTTTCACAAATTAGCCAAAATTGCTAGTCCTAATTATATTATATAAAATTTAAATCACCAATACAAACCTTGACTTTGAACAACAATTGTCAAGTCCTCAAAAATCCTACAAAAACAATACTTATGCCTCTAGAACAAGCTTTAAGCTAGCTCTCAAATCTAAACCTTCGATCTTTGAATAAAACCCTAATTTTTCTCAAGTAGTCGTTTTAGTAACCAGAGGTCTGATTTTGATCCTATCTAATAAACTGTCGACCTCCGGATATCAATCTAACCTATCCTAAGGATGTTTTAGCACAATCCGACCCTCAACTTAATCCTAGTATCAACCATATCAACCATTTATCTCTTCTATCTTGATTTTATCAATTTATGGCCTTTCTAAGGTAGTAAAAGAGTTTTTATATCCTAGAAGGTAAATTACTAATTAACTTTTATCTACTTGCTATTAAAACAAGAAAATAGGCTAAGAGGCTTTCATAAAAGCCTTATTAAAATATTTTGAATTCTTTTTGAACTAATATAATAAAATATTAATTAAAAAATTATTTTTAGTCATATTTTTAGCATATAATTATGTCACAACACAAAATTGCCATAATAGAATCAATTCCAATGGCTTCACATGTGCCACTATCTGCCAAAATCATATTTGATATTAAAATAACTTCATAATTATTAAGAAAATACTTATAAAGTATCATACACTTAGAACAACTTGAGTCTTCAATCCATCTTGATATGGCAGCTATAAAAATGCTATTTGTTACCATGAATGCATAGTCTTGTCCTCTAAACTCATCTTGCATACTATTTACATTCTTCTTTGCCATATTTTTTCTTTTGTAGCAATTTCAAAAAAAATATCCTACTTTGCCAAAAATGATGCAAGTTTTGACATTATTTCATTGATTAGAATAGTTGTCCTAGTCTTATCGTGAATAAAGTACTGAATCTTTATTTTGAGGCTTTTTTTCTTTCTTCATGGTTATTTCATGACTAAGTCTTACTATCACATAATCTATTATAAGTTCTTTCATTTTGATGGATTCTAAAGCCACAATAAGGTAGTTGTAGGATTTCGACAAGCTCATGATTAAAATTATTATAACGTTTGTCTTTTCTAAGGGCTTGTCTACAATTACAAGTTGGTTTGTAGGTGCTTCTACTTTGTTGATGTGTATCACAAGGTCTTCACATTCTTCCATCTTACAAGTAAAGAACTTTCTTTTTATATAGATGATGCTGGATAAGTTCTTACTTTCATAGATGTTGCAAAAAAATCTTTCATACTTTGACTAGTCTTTTATAAGAGATAATATAGGAAAAGTTGGTTTCATCAACATTGATTGTAATCAATTCAAAGGCCTTCTTTTTACAACTTTTGTAGTCTTTTTTCTCCTTTATATGAGCATGTATGCTTGGAGGCTCTTCACTTTCAACTATAATATCCCATAAATCCAAAGAAGCCAACAAAATTTCTATTTTGATCTTCTAATGGTAAAAATTTTCACCTTTAAACTTTTCAATTACTCTCAAGCCTTCACGTTCACTTGAAGCCAGGTTTAAAGGAGAGATGTATCAAAAAAGATGAAAAAAAATAGTCCTGAAGTTCTCAAAATCAACAAGAAGGTATTGTTGTCTTATAATCTTAGAATACCTTCTTTATGAATAAACTAGTGTCTTGTCTTTCAAAACACTTTCAACTTCACTTCAAGAACCTATTACAAGTCCAATGAACTATATAAATGTCTTAAATCAGATTTTTCACTCTTATATCACTTTTTTGCTCAAAAATCACCTCTAGACACCATAAGAGGTCTTTTGAGCACCTTCAACTCTTTTAAGACATGAAACTACAAAGTTAGTCTATCAAAGTTTTAAATCAATAAGAAAATATAACACTAGTTTTTTATAACATCACTATACGGTATAAATTAAATCTTGATTTAAGATGCACTTAACAACAAGTAATAGCAAATAAAGTTTTAGTTCTAAATATAAATCTAAAAGTTAGGAGTTTCAAAATTCTAATATTAGCAATGATAAAATGATCTACTACATATAGCAACAAAGACTTCATATAACTTCAAAGAAATTCACAAGAAAATATAAGTGGATCTATAACCTATTAAAAAAAATTAAAATTAAAAATCACAATACTTAGCATCAATAAGGTTGTATCCAAGAGAAGTATGAGGTAAGATGACTCTCACTTCTAACACTCTTTATTTATAGTTGGAGTCTTTATTTACAATCATATTCATCCTTCTTTATAATATCTAATTGAATCCTAAATTCCTCTTAACCTAGCTGCTACCTAAAATTTTAGCCACCACTATAGTAACTTCTTTTAATTTTTTGTTATCTTTTGATTATTACCAACTTACTATGATTTAATTCTATATAGTAATAATTATACAAGATCTTCTTGATCTTCAATAAAAGTAAAATTAGAAAAGAAGTATGAAATGAATGATTTGGGAGAGCTCCACTATTGTTTAAGAGTGGAATTTGTAAGAGATTATGGTAACAAGACCATTATAATGAACCAAAATAAGTACATTGAAGAGATATTGAAATGATTCAACATGAAGAAGTGCAAGCCCATTGAAACACCTTTAAAGGCCAATTTAAAGTTGGTGAAGCTCATGGATGAAGAGTTTGTTCATATTGAAGATGAAATAAAAAAATATTCTATATAAAATAGTAATAAGATCACTTATATATGCAATGGTTGGCACAAAGATGGATTTTATATATGTGATAAGTATTGTAAGTCAACACATGTCAAAGACTACATCAATCTATTGGGCAACCATGAAGAGGATTATGAAGTACTTAGAAGGCACTTTGAACTTCAAATTGTATCTTAGAGGAGATAATATTACATTGCATGGTTATTATGATACAAATTGGACTAGATATACAAACAATAGAAGGTCAATAATGGGATATGTATTCTTTGTCTAAGTGGGAAGAATTGCATGGAATTGCAAGAAATAACCAATAATTATACAGTCTAAAATGGAGGCAAAATACATGGGAGCAAGTCAAGGTGTAATAGAGACAATTTTGTCAAGATAAATTTTAAAAGACATTACACTTCTGCAATTGGAAGCAACTCCAATGAATTATGATAATCAAAGATGTCTTATTTTTACAAAGAATTCAAAATATCATTTAAAATCAAGTACATTAACATTCAACATTACTTCAAAAAAGAAAAGATTGAAATGGAAAAAAATTGATATAAAATATTGTGCAATAGAAGACACACTTGTTGATTTGCTAACGAAAGTACTAGTAAAACATAGGCATCAAAAACTGATCAAGGTACTAAATTTAAAAGCCTTTGATCAATGGCAAAGTGGGAGTATTAAAATAAAAATAAGATACAATTATCTTAGATAAGTTGCTAATAATTAAAAAATAATAAAAGAATAAAAGTAACTTACTAATGTGGGATCTAGGGTTTAATATAGCAACTAGGTTAAGAGGAATTTAGGATTAAGTTGAATGGATGAAGATGTTTATAGATGAAATTCAATTACAATAGATGTAAACTCTTCCTATAAATGAAGGGTGTTGATAGAGAGATGCATCTCATTCCACACTTCTCTTATGTGCAACAATTTTGATTTCTACTTACTTGTGTCTTATTTGTTGTATTTCTTCAATATCCTCTCTCTCCCTCCCTCCCTCAATCTCATTTGCATGGGTTGCTTGTCATGGATATTCACAGGAGTCATCATTCTTTGACTTTTAATAGTGTGCAGAGTATAATATACAGTTGTTTTTGATCCAACCTTGCTTGGTGAAACTAGCACAGTAATCACCTTTTGTTGTTGCTTGCCTAGTAGATTTACCTTTTCATGCTCTATAATTCATAGCAGAGAGGTGGCAAGTCTTGTTTCTGTAATCGAATTGCAAAAAGTTTAAGTCGATTTTTCTTCAATCAAGTACTACTGCCTTGGATTCGTCACGTGAACCACTGTAGATTCCTGTATGGCCCATCTTTTCAACATTCTTCTTTCTGGCAAAGCTTTTGCCGTACGAACCTCCAAACATCGATTCACTCGCCAAGTTACATCTGTCCCACCAGTTGTCAGTTGATTCATGCCTTCTCAGCAGTTAGTCAACAAATGAGATTCTTAAAATCCTCGATTATGGGAGCCTCTGTTCGGAATTAGAGAAACTTCGTGGATTTGTGGATCATAATCACCCACGTGGAGGAGCTGTCGAGCTTCGCAAGATATCTGGGTGTGGATCAGGACGTGTTGCCAGGTAACGGAAAGAATTGTGATAATGTCAGACATCATCGAACACTTTCCACAATCAACCGGCGAGATACTGCCTTAGATTTAACTTCGTGCAAGATTTTATATAAACGATTATACATCTAGGTTTTCCCCTCAGATCGGTTTTGAATTGGAAGTTTACTTGTTTAGTGTAGAAATTACACTTGATGTCGGTTCTCCTTGTTCATTGCATGTCGCCATGCGCTTCGTATAGCCGCTAGTTCTGCAGGAAATCTGCTAGTTGTAGGAGTGAACAGAACATTAAGATAAGATCAAGTCGCAGTCAAATACCCAGTGGAATTTTTTTTCTGAAGGTTGTACATCCGTACAGAACATTAAGATAAGTTCAAGTCGCAGTCAAATACCCAGTGGAATTTTTTTTCTGAAGGTTGTACATCCGTAGCGTTAATCTTATTCTATATTTTTCTATTCCTTTGATACTCCAAAAAATCTCAGTCCAGATTTTAGGTGCCAGGGGTTCTACATGGTCTGCATCATCTTGACTAAAAGCATAATCCTCAATGGTGGTGTGCTATCAAATTTCAACCTTATTTCAACTGGGCTTGTGGCTGAGAATCACTTAGCCTACAAACGAAACCTTTGAATGAACACGAACCAAAGGGAACCTTGGACGAACCTCCATCTAGGGTTTGCACAATCCCAATCAATTGAGTTCGCAGTTCCGTTTGCCGATACTTGCCCAGACAGTTGCTTGAGTCATCATAAGCAGCCATAGTTGATTTAATTAATAGGACAATCGCATGTGATTTTCGAGGACCTTTAGAGGTGACATCTTACTTGCACTGAAGGACGATCCAATCTCCGATCTCGACATCGACGACCAGGAAGCGCCTCAATATCTCCGTTACTGTCGTTTTTCATGAGCTCATTGAACCCCATTTTCTGTAGGAATTATTTGGGACGACAGTGTTGCTAGAGAACACCGAGTTAGCTTCACATTAATCTCGTTTTGTGAACTGGAACGCAAAGTGCCACTGGAAAGACAACCGGAAACTGGGTTTTGTTTTTCTTTGGATCGGAAGCGGAGAACGATGGGTTTATAGTGGAGTTGAGCATTCTGGTGGATACCGTAGAGTCTTGTGGAGGCAAGTTTTTGAGGTTAAGCTGCGCTAGCCGACCGAGTTGAAGTGAATTGAAGTTGGAGATGAGGTTTTGTGGTAGATCTAAAGTGGGAGACAGGATGGCGGTATTCGTGGAAAACAGACTCTGGCTGATCTTTGGATTAGGGTTTTGAAGTTTGTGTTGTTTTAGTGAGATTGAAGGTTTGAGATTCGTTTGGGAGTTAGGAAGGATTATTTGAAGACTGTAGGAGGGTTAAAGTTGGTATGGCAGCAATGGGGGTGTCTGGAGCTGTCGTTGCAGTGTCTCCGAAGCATTCTTCTGGGTTAATGGTGTTTTCAGGTGAGAAATGTCACGGCACCTCTGGTTTGCCGTCTATGTCTCACTTCTTTAGTCAGAGATATGGAATGGGATCGTTGCGTGGCGAAGTTGGGCGAAGGAGAAGGGATTCCGCGATGTCAGGAACGTGGGCGTATGCCACAGATGCCGATTACTTCGGGGAGGATTTCACTTCAAGCACTGGCTATTTAGGAAATAATATCAAATGCAAGAACTTGTACGATTGTCTTGGCTTGAGCAGATTTGCGACGCAAGAGCAAATAAAGGCAGCGTACCGTAGCAAGGCACTTAAGGTGCACCCCGATGTAGTGTCTGAGAACAAGAGAGAAGAGGCGTCAAAGGAGTTTCAAGAGCTCAATAGAGCGTACGAGATACTTTCCAATCGTCACGAGAGAGCAGCTTATGATTTAAAGCTTAGGTTTCAAGAAAGATCTCCTGTTTCAATACCGACTTCACAATGGGGGTTCATATCGGTTCCTTCCAACCCCGATGATCCTAATGGCAGCATTAAATTCAGGGGAAGGAAGTATTACGAGTCGGATTTTTTTTCGTAGGGAGTTCAGCCGGAGAGATTCGTTTTTATATCTGTGGAGGGCGGATCTGAGGAACTCAGTCGCGCTCCCTGTAATGTACAAATATGTTTTATAGCGTCTTAGGTTGCGAGGGTCTCTATATGCAAGGGCGAATGGAGGAGCCATTTGACTATGGGTTAGCGGATGGGTGCTGCTGAATTTGCACTAAACGTGTCTAGAAATTAGTTGTAGGATACTTGATCAGCCCCTGTCAGCTACCTCAGCAATTGTACATGCCTTGCACAACACGACCTTTCGGATTTGCCGATTGATAAGATTGCTACTTTCTTTCCAGCTCTTCGGCATTTTGTGATGTGTTTTTTAAGATTGCATAATTTATTCTTATCCTTCACCGGCTCAGATTCTGACTGCCGTGTTTCCGGCTGTTCGTTTTTGTGAATTGCTATTTGCCCTGTAACCTTTAACCTCAGTTTGTGCCATAGTTTGTGACAGCGAGCTCGTTTTGTTAGCAAAGAAGCGAATCCTGGAACTCATGTCCGCGGATGCTCTTCACGTCCCTGGAGCGAACTGTAAGTGAAGCTCTTGTGTCCCATTCTAGAATGAAGCGGCAACAGCTTCGTAAATTATAGTTACGTGAATGAAACCATGATATTGAATTGTGTTGAGTACAGAAGTCCATGCTTTTTCTGTTTGTGTTTTCATCTCCACTGCCCTCTCATACATTCACATGGTTTTTTAGAGAGCAACTTGATGTGATGAACAGTCCTACATTCTCAAGTTTTTTTTTTTTTTTTTTTTTTTTTTTTTTTTTCTGATAGACTCTGTGCCCTGGTCGTTGCCAAAAATTGAACAAGATTCTAATGTTTTTTTACTGTTATTTTTAAATTGATTTAAATTTTGTGTTTCAATGAGGTCAGCATTTTGGTTTGACGTTATGAAAAATTGTCATTAGAACCTAAATTTAAGTTTTCTTCTCTGAATCTTTGCATTTCCAAGATTTCGTGAAATACTCATTTGGAGCAGAAGATCCAGAATTTGTCATGAAAGGGGTGGAAAAATAAAATCATTATGCTGTACATCAAGATAAAATCACATATTGACTGAGGTGGGTACGCAAGACTTCAGTTGTATTCAAATCAAATAAATAAATAAAATCTATTTAATTAGTTAGAGAGATTGAGGCAGAACATATGTTTTTTTTTAGGCTTTTTTATCTTTGTATAATGCAAATGCCATATTTTCTTATATTTATTTAAAAATCAGTTGAGAATTTTATTTCTATTTTCTTTTATTTGGAAGAATTTTTTTTATATTCCATTGTATTGCTATAGTACAAAGCAATCATATAATTTCATCAATGATTTTATCATTATATTGTGATTGTAGGGATTAAATAACATATTTTAACATTTTCCAAATTTTATATATTAAGAAACTTATTCCTTAAGTGTTTTAAAAAAAATGTTTCAATTTATTTGAAGGATTGGCTATGGATTTGAGCAAAGATAGAATTTTTTGTATTATTTCATTAAGAAAATTGCTCAATTTTAAACAAATTTTTCAAATGGATAATTTTAATATAGTTGTAGAATAAATTTAGGAAGAGATAAAACAAATACTTCTACAAAGTGCCTATAAATTGCAATAGCCTATTTGTATAACAAAGAATAGTCATTCAATTAGATAATTGAAGCAAGTTGTCCTTTGTCAACTTGTTCAAATTAAATTTTCTTATCCAAAGTAGTATGTTTGTTAGATTGTTCCTTAGTGCCATCTAGTTTTTTATACCAAAAATAATATTCATGATATATATTATAGATCTCTTTGATTTAAATATATTAGTAAATGCCATGCAATCTAAGTAGATATACAATTAAAGCTTTTAAAGGAAGAAAGAAAAGAAAGATTAAATCAACCTAGGTATTTGTAAATCAATCCATCTATCCTAACCATCATCAAAAAATAGATCATCTCTAAATTCAATTCTTCATTATTGGATCCACAACCAATGAAAATAGAATTGATTGATTTTCATCATGGTTACAATCATAGCCATGATTGTATAGAATAACACTTGTAAAGAAGGTTTTTTTTACCTCTTTTCAAATATATGATGTAAACAGAGTTTATATTAATATTTGATTTTGAACACGAAAACTCAATCAATTGGCACATAAAAAATTGTAAATTACATTATGAATATATTAATTGTTGGGATTGTGATTGAGAATCTATTATTAAAACTATAATATTTTGAAAGTGATAAAAGAATTGTGTATTTCTTATGAAACATGTAGTGAATACATGGATTATTTCATTAAAGAAGAAGCAACTGGAAGGGTTGCCTCTTCTTAATTAAATACAACTGTTGTTTATACTAGATGTTCAACTAGATGCTATACTATCCAATACTGTGATTAATTAATTATAATTTTGAATTCAAATATAGCCGCTTAATCAAGTAATGGTATCAATAGAATTTCTTGTTCAAATATAACAAATGATGGCAGATGTTGGATAAGCTTTAGCCTAAAGAGGGACTTGGTAAAGATATTTGTATGTATCTCATGAATGGAGTAATATCAAAATTAGACCTTTGGAAGTGAAGTAAGTTGACAAATAAAATAATATTGGATTATGATATGTTTAATTAATAAATAAAATTTTACAATATTAATAAGAAGAAGGTTTGATTAATTATTGCAATAGATTAGAGTTGGTTGATAGAACATATTACAAATGTAGAGATCATGGATTATTTGTCAAATCCATATACATTTAGAAGCTACAATCACCATTGCTATGTATTTGGTTTTAATACTTTATAACACAATGGATCTTTGTTAAGTGGAAGTTTGATTCATAGCTCTATTACTAAGAGAAAAATATTGCTTAAAGTAGAATGGCACTTGTTGATTTTTCGTGCCTAATTAGCATTACTAAAATTATAAAAGAGACTAAGAATATTGATAGACTACCAATACTCAAGGTAAAATCCAATTGTATCATATAGATAAGGGAATATATGCTTGCATGCAAAAATGTGGATGAAACTCAGATTATGCATGTATTGAATAAGCACACTTATGGCAATAGAAATAACAGGACGGGTATACAAACTAATTCAATTTAAGGAATTAATAGCATTTGAATAAGAGAAGATAATGCAAAGTATCTTTTCTTCTAATGTTAATAGGCAATCTGGAGTAGAAAGGTGAGTACCTAGTACAAGTGAGGTTTAGATAGGCCAAGCATCAAAAAAGCCAAATTTGTCTAATTTTTTCTTGATATAAAGAACTTGTATAATACAGAGCCAACTACAACAAATATCTTAGAAAATTTGTAAACTTAATATGTGATGTACCTTGCCAAGGTCAAAGAGAAGGAACAAAGAATGGAATTGGGTCATTGTGGTGTGGCCTTTATCACATTTGAAGACTATGTGGTGTCAATCAAAGCAATGTCTACAAACTATGTCTTTAGGCAGGCACAAAACTATTTATATTTTGTTTCATATCTTTGAATGTGTCAAAAGTTCTTTTTGATAGAAGGTGCATGTTGAGTGGATTTTTTATTTTAAAATAGAAGCATTCTAAAATAAATAATGTCTCTTTCGTCTCTCCTTGGATTATAGAGAAAAAATTAGACAGTTGTAAGATTATTTTTCTTTCAAGGTAAAATAAGCTAGCAGAGAGTTGAAAAAGCTCAAAGTAATAATAAAGAAAGAAAAATTAAGATCATAAACACAATGCATAATATTTTTATCATTCATTGTAGTCATTGATTATAAAGTATTATTACTACTCATGTTTCCATCATTGTACGATTTTCATACCCTAATAACCATGATTGTATGAATCCAACCTTTGATGATGCTTATGATAATAAAGAAGAACTAAAAGATTTATATCATAATAGATGGATTAATTTAATAAATATATAGATCAATTTAATAATTTTTTAATTATCTAATTTATTTTAAATTTTATTTTTATATTCATGAATTATTTATTTATTTATATTAATATAAGTATTATTAGAATCTTATTGTAGTATAGATCTTGCGGTTAGAATTGACATTAATTATTTATTCTATATTGCAACTTTTTCTTTGTCACTTCTTAAACATCTAATAGCAACTTTATAATTTATTTTTGTTTTGAAGGTTATTTTCCTTTATCACCTTATCAAATTCAATCCTATCTTTATTTTTTTTATTGTATTAAGAAATTATTTATTTATTTATTTATTTATTTTATTTTTAAGTAATATAATAAATTTATACTTTAATTTTAATTATTATAAAAAAAATCTAAAGTATATCAATTTTATATAGATTCTTTAATATTTAATCTTATTATGTATATTATTTGGCTTTGCTAATTTTATCTTAACTTCAATATTATATATTATTTTATTCCTATTATAATTGAATAATAAGCCAATTTTATAAAAAAATTATTAATTTATAAGTTCTAATTTTTAATTCTTGAATCAACTTCAATCTATATTTTAAAATTAATTTTACTCAAATTTAAAAATTTCAAATACAAGTTGTATTTTAAAAATTGTAATTAGAAAGTAATAGTATTTTTGTAGTATAATAACATACAATATAGTTTCATATTATGATTTTGTAGTATAAATTTATAATGTTATATATCTTGCTCTTGCACAATATATTGTGTAGGAAGCTTTTTGCTTTACTTTACAAGTATTAACAAAGAAACTAAATAAGATACAAAACTTAAAATGAAATAAATAAATAAATAAATATATTAAAAATTATAGAAATAAAATTATTTTAAAAAAATATATATATTATTATTTCAAATATTAACATTATTGTGGAATGCAAAGAATTCATGTATCATGGATGCTGTATGTGTCAATACACCAAATTTGAGAATAGTTGTCAAGGACAAAAACTTGATGAAAATAAGTAAACAAGTGAGACTTTTTCAAAGAAGTATAATAAAATAGAAATGAAGAAGTATGTAAATTAAAAGAAAATTGGAACGGCTATTGCCAAAAGACAAAAAAACTAGAGACTTCTTGAAACTAGATTAAAAGCAAGAAAAGAATTAACAAGAAAGAAGAAGGCTTCACTCTTGTTTTTATATATACTATCTACCTGGGAGCTATATGTGACGTGCTATAGGACCTCTAAAACTTGTTGTATGGGTGGTTTTTTCTCTCCTCACTTAAGTCCAATTTAATTAAATTGTAACTTAGATTAGAGTCTAATATTAATTAATGTAGAGATGCAAACTATAGATAAGATAAATAAAAAAAAATGATATAATACTCACAATTTATCCAATAAAATACAATCAAGTCAATTACATATTTTTATGATTTATTTTTTAGCAATTGCAGTTCATTTAGGTAAATGT